CTTGCCGAAGGGCCTCGATGCTCAAGGGAGGCGTACGTGGGCCAGCCTGACATAGGCCTCGCATTTCGACGATGAGGCCTCCATTGCCATCGTCATGAACGCTCTGGGTGAGGAGGGAGGGGGGGGGGGGGGGGTCGTCGTCACATCCTACCCAAACGTCCTTCCAAGACTGTCGCTGGACCAGACATATGTCCTCAGAGGTGCTGGAAGGTTCCAAGGCGGTATCAACCTGTGATATCGTCCAACCACGAGGTTTCGACCAACGGTGTATGGGTCCTGATCGCTGCCTCAAGTGCTGTCGGATCCATTTTGTGAAAGAGCGAGCCCGAGCCGTAGCCATCCTTCTTTCGATGACTGCAGCAGTCCGTCCGAGGTAGGACGACGCTAGCCCGAGCAAATGATGATGCAGGGTAGGCTGTTGGGCGGCTGTGTGCAGTAGATACGTAAGTACAGCTGTGACGGGAGGGGAGATGTGCTTCCTCATCCTGCCTTCCTCACCTTCTTGAGCGAGGAAGGAGTAGAGGTGTGCACATGCTTGCGCGACCTGGTGAGGTCGTCTCACCTGGGCCAGCTGGACATCGCTGACGCGCAACTGTAGTAGGCGTAGGACACAGGCCTCGGCAGACGCGGCAGGCTGGTGCCTTGCCCGGGCTCCCCCTGCCGTGGTGCGCCTGTACCTCAGCGCAGCCCCTCGCCCTGTGCGCCTTAAACCATTGGGCGGCAAACTAAATAATGGGAGCAACTCCGCCTCCACTCCACGATACAAGTGTGCACATATGTTGTCCAACCGTGAGGGGCGGTCGTCACATGGTCCTAACCGATGCAGAGAGTCGTCCCTCATGAGTTCCACCCAAGATATCCCAGGGTCCCCACGCAGGACAGCGCACTGTGGTTCGCCATCGACATCCTCCAAGTCCTTACGCAGGGATACTGTGGGCTGGTGTGGGAAAGGCTTGGGTCCTCGAAACACACGAATGGTTTGGGCGCGAGCCTGTGGTCCCAGGGAGGCATCCACAACGCAGTGATTGCGCGGCGGAAATTGTGATGCCCGCAAGGGATGGGATAGCACACTGGCCAGGCAATCGCTGAGTACAAAATAATCCAAGTACGAGACATTCCCCGTGACAGGCTCCCGATAGGTACCGTTGGACGTGCCCACAACGCGGGCCCGAAGTCGCATGGGCCACTCTGAGCCGTCGAGCATGGCAAGGGGGCATGTTCCACTCCCCATACAAGAGAAACGGGAGCCCGTAGTTCGATAGCAGGGCCCCGAGGTCTTTTAGGATCTGCGCATTGCGTCCTGCCAGGCGAAGCCCTTGTTCGAGATACACCGATGCAGCAACAAAGCCATGCCCCAGACCGCCCTGGATCATGGTTGCAACCACGTGTGCTGGCACGAGTACGTGAGTGCTGATACATGAGGTGAGTATCGTAGCGCCACTATGCTTGCGCACAAAGATGCCGACTCCCGCACAGGGGCCACCATCTGGGCCTGTTACAGCTTCTGTAAGAAATGATTTCCAGCCGTTGTTGATGGACCACTCCTGGGCGCGCCTGACCTGGTCGCTGCGCAGCTTCAACTCCTGAGCGAAGACGAGGTGCACGCCGTTGCAGTTGGTCAGGTAGTCCTGAACCTGCGGCCAGCCGCTGCCGTTGAAAGTGGCGACCTTGAAGTCCTTCCTGCGAGCGCCACGAGGTGCGCGACGCGGTCTCGTGGATGCCGAGGTCGGTGGCCCCGTCGACCGTAGTGCCGTAGTAATACTGACCTCGCACTTGGACTGTGTCGAAACAGGTAGTGAGCCGTCGTGAAAGCCGCTGTGGTGGTCCGTATGCTGAGAGCACCCTGCTGCGACACTAGTGACACACTCAGGGGCAACGACCACCCCTTCGTCAAGGGCCCTGGGCGCGACTCGAGCGAGGGTGGGATACTCACGCAGCTTCAACCCCAAGGGGGAAGCCACCTGCCCGTCGGCAGCCACTCTCGTCGGATTTAGCCCCGCAACAACATGCCCCGCATCGTAGTGAGTGTCGTCGTGACGGGCCACGGCCTGAAAGCACCCTGCTGCGGCACTAGTGACACGCCCAGGGGCATCGACCACCCCATCGTCAAGGGCCCCGGGCGTGACTCGAGCGAGCGCGAGGGAAACCTCACACAGCTTCACCTTCGAGAGGGGAGCCGCCTGCCCGTCGGCAGCCACGCTCGCCGGAGTTAGCCCCGCAGCAACATGCCTCTCGCCGTAGTGCACGTCGCTGCGAGGGCCCACATGCTGAGTACACCCTGCTGCGACACTAGTGACACTCCCAGCGGCGTCGACCACCCCTTCGTCAAGGGCCCTGGGGGCGACTCGAGCAAGCGTGGGGGAAACCTCGCACGGCTTCAGCCTCGAAAGGGCAACCGTCTGCCCGTCGGCAGCCACGCTCGTCGGATTTAGCCCCGCAGCAACATGTCTCGTGGATGGATGCGTGCCCGAGGTAGGGGCGTGGCTCCCCTGATCGACCTCACTGTTACTCGATCTCACCGCCACGTATCTCGAGTCTCGCACGCGTCGTTCAACATCAAGACGTCGCATAGGGATGAGGGAGACCTCCGCCACCATTGCAGTACTGTGTCGAACTTGCATGAGTGATGCGGCATCGTCAGGGGCACGAGGGTGCACGTCATCCTCGGCATCGGGGAAAGGTGGGTGCTCCAGAACCTGCGGTGGTGGAGGCCCTTCTGGCGCGGCCATTGCCGATGAAACCAACGTGCTGCCACCTGCCAGTAGGGTGCGCGGATGTATGATGTTGGCCATCGGGGCTCCAAAGGCACGATGAGCTTCGATGAGCCTTGTACCCGCATGCACTCCCTCCTGTTCATGTATGTAATGAGCCTGCGCCAGTAGGAGCCGTGCCTCACGCAGCTGTAGGAGGAGTTGCCTCGCCACTGCAGACCAAGAGTCAGGGTTCGCCAAATGCGTGGCTAGGGCCAACAACATCTGCGCATTGTGGTCAGCAGCGTCACGCCAGGCGGTCTTGCAGTAGGCGGCGGCCATGTCGTGCATGGCGGCCTCAGTTGGCGCCATCTCCCGAAGCTGAGGTATAAGCCTGATCATGAGCTCGGCGTACGGTACACACCACCAAGTCCAGCCATCATGCGCCATAGTGATATATTGCCAAGATATCGTGTCCGCACTCCACCGCCCGGCGTAGGCGTTGAGATGCGCACGGAAAGTCTGAGATTCGTCGGTCGGACAATGTAGGAGAAGTGTCCACGAGCGAGCGCCGCTGCAAGCCGTGATAATCGACGGAGTCGCCATCCGCCTGTACAGCCAAAACTGCACGGTCCCCGCTCGGGGTCATTAGAATATGTGAGGGCGTAGACATAGGCTCCCAAGAGCTGTCGCCAAGGCCATTCGTGTAGGATCTGTCCGCCATCGGATCACGTACCTGGTGTGCTGGTAGGCTGGCTGCGAGCATCTCGTTGTGCGTCGGTGCCTTCCAAGCCTTGATCGATTGCTGCGTCCCAAGGGTGGGCGCCGCCTGAGTGCACACTGCCAGGAGTACGAGGCACGACAACTTCCATGGGCGCGCCGAGCACAGGGACAGCATCATGAGGCTCTGCATGCTGCTCTGCTCCTGGGCCACCAGGGACGACGGCGCGCCTGTGTAGCACAAAGGCGCGCTGGAGCTCCACGAGGTGCGTGCTGAGCGACTGGAGGAGCATGTCTGGGTTGCCAGCGGCCATGGCGCGTGGTGCCGCGGCGACCACTCCTTGCAGGCGGCCCATGGCCTCCTCCAGGCTGCCATCCGTTGAGTCGCCAGGTGAGGTTGCCATGATGGCTGCACGCGCCGTGGCAACCTCTGCTTGAATGGCGGCCAACTCCGCAGCGGCCGTGGTGAGCTCCATCTGCTTCGCTGTGAGCTGCTCCTGCAGCGTGTCGACCTGCGTCTTGAGGTCGTTGTGCTCTCGGAGCTTCGAGGCTTGGCGGTCCAGAGCACGGCGAAGCATGTCATCAGGAGTCCGAGCAGCACGTTCCCGTTCTTCTGCGCCTGCCAGCTGCTTCTTGGCTGAGAGCACCACCTCGGAGTCCTCTGGGAGCTGCAGTCGGCGTAGAGCGGCGAGGGCCTTACGTGCACGGGCAACGTCATCATGCTCGCCTTGACCTCCTGTGGAGGTGCTCTCGGCGTCCTGGGGCGGGACGCTGCTGGGGGCCCCGCGCGACTGCCTGCTGCCCGACTGGGCGCGCCGCTTGGCAACAGGCGGTTCGGCGCCAGACGGGTCAGGCCGCCCGAGCTTGTCCCTGCCGCACATGTAGCAGCGCTCATTCTGCTGGAAGTTAGTGCGAAACCCGCACTGGCGGCTAGCAGCACAAGCCCATGTGCCAGCAGGCGCGCCAGAGCCCGCTGTGCCACGGCCCTCCTGGGGGCCACGGCTGCGGCCGCGCCCTGCTTTGCCCATGGCAGGGGGCCTGGAGCCGCGGCGTCGCGTGAGGGCGTCGTGGTCGGCAGCGAGCCGCAAGCGGCGGCGTGCCGATGCACGAATGCGTCTGAGACGTCGGTGCCACGCTGGGGAGCGAGACCGCGATGGGTCGCCCTCCGTGGCTGGAGGGATGGTTGGCCTCTGGGCTGTGCGCCAGGGCCTCTGCTGGGTGCGGCCGCCTCGCGAGCACAGGCTCGCGGCAGCCACGTCGCGCCAGGCAGCGCCTGGGGCCGGGGGCCCCCTATTGCACGGGCCCCGCGCCCCCCGCGGGCAAAGTGGCTGCGGGGGGGAGGGGGGGGGCGGGGGGGCACGCAGGGAGCCACCTAGGAGGAGGAGGAGGAGGAGGAGGAGGCGGAGGAGGAGGAGGAGGAGGAGGAGGAGGAGGAGGAGAGACAGAGAGGGAGGGGGGGGCGCAAGGAAAGGAAAGGGAGGAAGGTCATCTACGCACGAACTGCACTCGCGCCACACGCGCTCAGTAGTGCACGAGGGGTCCATGACTGGTGGGCGGCCGTCCCACTGCGGCCCCCATGCCGCCTCACCTTCACTGTTCGCCGTCCAAGAAATAGAAGTCGCGGTGGCCGGCTGTCGCGTGCTCTAGCTGCGGCTCGCCATCGACGGCCAAGGTGTCGCCCTTGAAACGCGAGCGGCAGCAGGGGCAGAGGCACTTGAAGCCCTCGGGAACCAACCGCTGGACCGTCAGGCCAACTTGCGCGGGTTGACTGCGATGATCGATCCACCCGCACATGGTATGACACCGCCCCCTGCGCGGCCCGCGAACGCTGGCGAGCATCGTGGGGCCGTACTGCACCCAGCAGAGACCGGCAATCACGTCATTGCCCGTGTCCGGAAAATCCCCCTCCTTCTTGAAGGGCTGGCGAACGCCTCGAACCTGCTGCTGCATCCAGGCGTCACCCAAGCACTTGGCGAGCCCAGCATTGGTCTCCATGATGAGCCACCGGGCGGGACCACCGAGCGGATGAGCACCCGCCTGCGGGGGGGGGGGGGATGGGGGCATCCAATGGCCGCCTGCATGCAGCCCTCGTCCACGGAATCGTCGCCCGCGTCTGCCTTCTCGCTCTTGGCGCACCCCTGCACCTTCGAGTCGCTGGGGGTTGTTGGCGCGGCCCCCCGCCGCGCCAGGACCTGCGGCAAGCCGCTCTCATTACTGCCGTCTCGTCGGTGTTATGGCTACTGCCCTGGTTGCCCTTTTCATGCTCTTCTGGTCGCCGTCGATCAGCAGGCTATCGTCCATGCTCAACTGCACGCCGTCGGTCACCGCGTTGCCGTCAGTGCTCGGCTCCACGCAGAAGGTGTCAAGCATCCTGCCGTGGCCCTCGGGCTCCACGTAGTTGGGGGTTGTCTGCGCGGCCGCCCCCCGCGCCAGGATCTGCAGCACGTCGCCCGTGCTCACCTCCGTCGCGTAGGTGGACTGGGTACTGCCCTGGCTGCCTTGCCTGCGCTGCTGGCCCCCGTCGACCAGTGGGAAGTCCTTGGTGCTCACCTTCGCGCCGTCGGTCGCCACGCCGCCGCCGGTGCCCACCACCGCGCCGAAGGTGTCGAGCATCCTGTCCTGCGACCCTCGGCCGCCTCGTCGCGAGCTGAGAGAAGAGGTGGCAGCCTGAAGCGACACCACCCGCGGATGCCGCGGCAGCCCACGCAACCGCGTCACTGTGCAGCGTGTCTGCAGCGGGAAGCTGCCTCATACACACACACACACACCAGGGGCGAAGCCCTGGCCCGCACCGGCCTCCACCCACTCCACTGGCAGCTGCGGCCCAAGCGAGGCGGACGGCGTGCAAGCTGCACGCTGCGCGTGGCGGATCGCCACCACAGCCGCTCTCCTTTTCCTGCGGGCCGAACGGGACGGCGAGGCCGCGCCCACCTCTCAAGGCGGTGCGGTGCAGGCGCCGTCCATGTCGCGGGATGCACCACGTCCCACAGACGGGCGCACGGCTGGGGTCGGGCCTGAAACTGGCGCCACCTTGGGCCCATGAGCCTGACGCCTTGGGAGGGGTATGGAGGAGGGAGGAGGAGAAAGAGGAAGAGGAGGAGGAAGGAGGAGGAGGAGGAGGGGGAGGAGGAGAAGCAGGAGGAGAAAGAGGAGGAGAAGGAGGAGGAGGAGGAGGAAGGAGGAGGAAGGAGGAGGAAAAGGAGGAGAAGGAGAAGGAGGAGGAGGAGGAGGAGGCGGAAACCCTGCGTGAACCCCTGAAGGTCTTGACCCCTTCCCCGGGGCCAGCTTCTCGTCCTATGCTGTTTGCGCACGGCGCGGGGGCCCAACATGGGCCCTCGGAAACATCACATTGCGAACCGCTTTCCGCCGTGATTTCGCTCACGACGCGAGTGAGCCCTTGGAGGAGGGAGGGAGGGAGGGAGGGAGGGAAGGTGGAGGAGGAGGACAAGGCGGAAGAGGATTGCACGTTGCTCCAGAGGCGGAGGAGGATGTGGAGGGAGGGAGGAGGAGAAGTGAGGAGGAGGAGGAGGAGGAGGAGGAGGAAGAGGAGGATGAGGACGATGAGCAGCAGGAGGAGGAGGAGGAGAAATCCACGTTGATCCAAAGGCGAATCAGGTGCGCCCGCAGCCGCAGAAGCGGCCCTCCGAGTATGAAGACTCGAAAAACGTGGCCGCCGATGATTTCGGTAAAGTTGGAGGCCGCCTTCGGCGAGACGCAATCATCGATTTGGGCACACAGCCCATTACGGGAGGGGAGGGGGAGGTCCAGACAGAGAAACGAGATGCGGTGGGGAGGCGACGGAAATCGGGGGTGCGAACGCCCGACTGATGCGACTTACATATGTGTGCAAATATGTGTATGTGTATCTCTATCTATCTGTCTATATATATAGATAGATATGTGTACACACGTTTATGCTTACAGACGCTTACACGCACGCATATAGCGACTGTTGTTCAAACGTAAACACATTAATGCATACAGATAACATGCGTGAGCAAACAAACAAGTACAGACGCGTATAGATACACACGTATATACCTGATGACGCATGACAACCAAATACGTACACACAGACGCACACGTATACATGGTAGCCATCGTGGACCCAAAACTGTGTGTTCTAGTATACCCTTCGACGTGATATGTGCAATACAGCATACACAGTGCAATATATGCAATACAATGCATGCAGTGCCAATCAATGTGGCGCAATATCAGCAATGCAATCGATGCGGCACAATATAAAACAACATCACGCTGGTTGCACCATGCTATTCTACGCTGTCCTGTGCGATGTTCTTCCGTGCTATGCTACGCGAGGCTCTCCTAAGCCCAGCTCAGCTGTGCTATGACAGGCGCCAAGCTGCACTGTGCTGCGGTAAGCAGTGATATACTGTGATATGCTATGCTATCTGACTGGACGAGTGCGACTGGACGAGTGAGAAGGGGCCCCAGGACACACAAATAAATACACACAAATAAACATGTTCCCCATACTTTCCCATATTTTCTGGGTTTTTGTCCTCCCCCCCACTTCCTATATTTCCCCATATTTTCTGGGGGATCGACGATTCTTTGTGTCTGTGTTTTTGTTCCCTCCTGAGAGTGCGAGTGGTCGAGTGCAGAAAAAGCGGCGAGGGACGGCGGCAGCGGGCGGCAACGGGCGGCGACGAGCCGGCCGGACCCGCCCGGGGGCCCGGCGCAACAAATGGAGGCGGCGGGCGGCGGAGGCGGGCGGCGACGCGCGCGCTGAACGGGCTCCGGGGCCCAGGTTACCTTTCGAACACAAGGAGGAGCCCCCGAGTGCCAGCGCGGGCTGGGGAAAGGGCCACCAATATACACACTATATACACGAACATGCCCACACTTGCACACACACACACACACAAATACAGACAACTTTGCGCATGCAACCGGCTCCGGGGCCCAGATTACGTTCGAACACGAGGAAGAGCCCCCGAGGGCAAGCGCGGGTTGGGGAAGTGACAACAAGTATAAACACGTATACACAGACACCCACATTTGTACACACAAACACACGCACAGATACAGACAACGATGCACATGCAACTACAAGTGCATATATGCATGTGCATACGCCTGTCGGTGCACATGCGCATGCATACGTACATACATGCATACTGATATATACATATATAATATGTATGTGCGCGGATGTATCTACATGTGTGTATGTGTGTGTTTGTACGGCTGAATGTTTGTCTGTATGTACGTACATATGTATGTATGGATGTGTGTATGTGTGTACATATGCGTATATAACTATAAGTCTGTATATGTATATACAGGGTCCTGGCCCAGGGGGGTCCCACTTCGAGCCGGCGCCGAAGACGCGATTTGAAGACGCTACTCCCCCAAGGAGCTGCGGTGACGCCTCTATTCCCCTGGCGCCCGGTGAAGCTCGTGACGCCTCTATTCGGCCTGAAGCCTCTTTTCCGTTGACGCCCATTGAAGCTCGTGAAGCCTCTATTCGGCCTGAAGCCTCTATTCGGCTCGTGACGCCTCTCTTCGGCCTACGAATTGCGACGCACTGGTGGGGCAGCGGCCCTAAACGTGCCCATTCGGCCTGAACCCTTTATTCCCCTGACGCCCATTG